AGACTTTGATATCAGATCAATATGCCTTCTTCGCAGTCCAGTAAACGTCTTTGTCCACGGACTGCTCATATAGTCAAAACAGAGACGACAGATAATCGAACTCCGCAATAGATCCCTCGCAAAGCTAGCGCCTTCAAGGGGCCACGGATTGTCGTGTTTATTGCATGGACCAGCTGATTTTCAGCTGATAACGATTAATATATCTAAAAATCGCGAACATCGTCACCGCAGTTCAATACTAATCGTGGATGACGCTAGTGAGATAGATACGGATGGAAACAATGCGCGGCCTGCGCAATCAGTGAAGACAGGCCATCTAAGCATTTAAGTAAAAATAAGTTCATAAGATTATATCCGGATGTTTCGAAATCGAGGTCATGATCTCTTCTCACCTTTGTGCACCATGAGATAGCAACAGTTCTAACTTATTCAGCATAAGAGAAAGCATTTGCCTGCGTTGAAGCTAAAGTGTCAACGCTCCTCGGCCAAACTATTCTGCTTTTCTAAAGATTTGTTCAGCAAAATCATTGTTGAATGCCACTATAAATAGGTGAACACTTTTTCAAAGATGGTTAGAGCAAGATTTTCATTGGTTATTTAGAATTTTCTAGAGCTTATTATTTACTTTGGTGAGAGCAGCAATGTTGCTACAACGTAATGCACTCAGTAAGCAAATTAGTTTATTTTCAATTATATAAAGGTAATCCTAACTGCTGAGTTTCAAACAAATCTTATTTAGATAACCAACGCTTTAGCGTTCGCCCATGCTCGAAATGTGTAGCGCCCGCTGCTAAAGATCCACCCCAATTTTCAGATTAAGAGCAACACTATGGATACGATGATCTGTGGTGACATTTTTTGTTCACGACTACCCTCATATTGAGTTTTTATTTCGCTAAATAGCCTCTAAGTTTTGAGAGAGAAATTTTGTCGAAGTTAGCTTTTTCACACTTTAGATCCACAACAAAGTATACTTACATGACCAACTCTTTGCCTATTGTGCTTTATGGATTATTGATCGCACTAAGAAAAGCTATGTATTCATTAAATCCTTCTGACAATGAAAAGATACTTGCTGGAAGTGGCGATTGAAATTGAGGAATACTATCAAATGTAATAAAACGCTGATTCAAATTGCCGGCCATATCAGCGAAGAGTTTCTTAGGGAGAAGTTATGAACATTTCTCTCTATCATAAATGACTTACGGGATCTGAATCAGAATGCTCAAAATTTCATCCCAGACCCAAAACAGCAGCGTAAAGGCTTTATATTGACAAAAACATGTATTCATCATAAAACAACCCTTTCCTTGTTGTTTCATGCCAGATTTGATGCAATCACACGTTTGTAGAATGAAGTTGCAATGAAGCATTCTGACCCCAACGGTTCGAACACGATAATAGTTTATGATGTTCTTCTTGATAAATGCAAAATAAGTGCCGATCCAGGCAGGCGTCAAATCTTTCGCAGGATTTGCTCACTGAGTTATTAATAAGATCGCTGATGCAGCGTTACAATGACAAACAGAGGTAACTCAAATTCTGGTACAAATGTGTTCACGGTCAAAAACGAGTTCAAATAACTAAGATTTTATCCGCTTTCGTAGAAAGCAACTATTATCAGCGCCTTCACAAACTGTTATTAGAATCTTTTTCGCGAGGTTCATCAGATTTTTTCACCAATTCTAGAGTCAGACCTCCGAATATTTTAAACTCCAACAAGTCATGTCAGAAAACCCTTATCTGTATTCAAAGTTGCCTCTCATGGATTTTGGGTAAAAACTCAAACTTGCAATTTTAGACATGAAACGTGATCTCATAGCTTTATAAGGTTAAAGTTAGAAAAGAGCAATGTGATGCACACAAAGCTTCTGTTGTTTTAGAAAGAAGGGCACGAGAGCCGCGTTGCTAGGCGCCATTAATAAAAATTCAATGTTGAAGGCGAACATCAGACACCTACCCTTTTCATGGCCTTCCATTCTTTTGAAAAGTCAAATTAGTACAAGAACTCTGAAAATGGATTGTATTAGCTTTGAAGTGTTCCAAAGAATCAAGGAAGAGCATTGGGCAAAAATGATGGTAAGCAAATCAATGTTCTTGCAAATGGAGATATATGAAGTAGCTACAGATAACAAATTTTTCTTAAAAAGTTTGAAAGTGGTCTAGCGTAATGGAAACGAGTAAAAGAGGCATAGTGCCTTTTTTACTGAAAAAGAAAAGATACAACAATTCTTCCGATCCACCCCAAGGTCAGCAGCTTCCAAAATTGGGGTGGATCTATAGCAGTAAGACGCTATCTGTTACTTCCTTCATCAGTTGTCCTTTTCAACTTTCCGATCAAGGCTGCAGGGGGCAATTAAGTTTTTCCCCCTTTTTCTTTTTCCTTGGAATACCAGGTTTACAAAAAAGTAACTATTTCTTAATCACTACGCTTTTTCGTTTGCAATTAAATGATACATTTTGAAACACTAGCTTTAAAATAGACTCTATCCATAAAAAATCTTGGATCTCATTTCTTAACGAGATTGGTATATTTTAAAGTTTTATGTAGCTTCGCAGCTAGCATAAAGCACTTACCGTAGCTTGGTACATAAACTAATGGTTTTATATGGAAATTATAACTGGACAGCAGATCACACCAAATAACCTCAATAGACATGATTTTAGAATATTTAGAATGATCCTTGGCCAAGTGCAACGGTGCCTCACGCCAACGCTGAAGCAACAGATACAGCATACATATCGCAAATCGACCATAATGAAAATAGGTACAAGACCTGCTTATAAACAGAAATTTGTGCTCAAGCAGGCTCCTCATTATGAATTATTAAGGCTTTAAAATTAGACAGGAGTATTAATGATCATAGGGTGACTAACTTTTCCGAGAAACTTGTATTTGTTCGTATGTAGTTTTGAAGGAGGATAAAAACTTCTAATCATCCTTGTTTTTGTTGGACATGAGAAAAAAATAGTGTCAATAATAGCCGGTTTTGGTAGTGGGACCACCGCAAGGAGTTTAATTGCTCCATTGAAACAATTAGGTGCTCCGACTGCGGCAGGAGAGTGTATGTCAAGTGGCGCGCTTTTCGGTTTGGTTGTCACTAAGAACACATTTGCATTGGGCTCTAATGTGTGGTTTCCGTAATGTGATTGTCTTCCTTCCAATAAGGGATGTACAAAATGTCATGAGACGGAACCCTTCAAAGTTATGCTTCAAGTAGGGAAGTTTTGAACAAACGGAAAGGAAGTTTGTCTGTAGCTTCGAAAACCCAATATCAAGCTCTCGTACTGTCTGCACTATCATCTAGCTGATATATCTTGTAGTCTTGAATTCACAAATTTCTAATACTTTTATTGCATTATTAGCATACAGCTTTATGAAAATCGGGAAAAGTCACGCCACCGCCTCCCTGGCACGTTCAAGGGTTTCCTAGTGAGGCGTACATAAGGCCGCTGGTGCGTGCCCTCCTTATTCTTTCGTCTAAGCACAAAAGATCAGTCCAAACTAACCTTTGTGAAGAATCCAACAGGGTAGCATTTCCAGGGTTGTATGAGAAGCCAAGGATTACTAATATCTTTATGTGCTGCTCACTTACTTTGATGAACGGGACCACTGTCAAACACGAGCAGCAGCTGCAGAAGTAACCACAATTCAAGTGGAGAAGAAGAACACTCAAAGGATGATTTCTGTCTGTTCTTCTACGTCCCCTGATGGCGTTTTTGACAAATAACAACTTGAAAAATAAGGAAAATTGGGAGGCTACACGCTCTTCAATGAACATATTTATTAGGCGTATACCTGCTTAGGTACCAGT